CTCTAATGTTTTCTCTCTGTCTATAATATTGAATCTTTCCTGCAAACATTTCTGCAAGGGGTTCTAGTTTAAGCCATTAGTGAACTACAATTTTGTACCACATAAAAGAAAGAATATAAAAGGAAATGTAACGTCTTTACTTTCATCTTCAACTTGGTATTTCATTACAAATGGTCAGTTGCCGCTTTACTCCTTTTTCTGTCTGTCTATTATGTTGAATCTTTCCTGCAAGGAGTTCTAGTTTAAGCCGTTAGTGAAGTACAAAGAACCGGATAGATTTGTACCACATAAAAGAAAGAAGAAAGAGGAAAAGTTAATGTTTTACTTTCATCTTCACGTATGTATTACGTTACAAATGGTCAATTGTCGATCTACTGCTTTTTCTGTCCGTCTGTATGCTAGAACTGTCCGGCTAAACTACCTGCAAGGGGTTCTAGTTCAAGCCATTAGTGAAGTACAAAGAACTGGATAGATTTGTACCACATAAACAGAAAGAGGAAAGTAATGTAACGTCTTCGGTTCTTCCTTTAACTTGGTGTTTCATCTCAAATGGGGTCACGTCCTCAAACCGCCTAGAGCCATCATAACCCAAATCCATCTTAATAATGGTGAATCCTTTCTCCTCTAAAAGTCAAATTTACGGCTAATTTGGCCCTGAATTTATGGGGATAGACTTCCCCGACCTTTATCGTGCAATTTTCTTCGGCACTTGATGTTGCGCAAGTTCGTTCCGTTATATTGCGTCTTGTATTGTCTTTATTAATCGAGTTCGCCTAGCTACGTGACGCGGCTGGTGCTCCGTCACACATGCGATTGCATTTGGAATACTAAATGTTGCTGTTAAATAATGCGTCTGAAATGAAGATGGATAGTCTTGTAAGGGAGCTAGGAACATTACTATGAAATACTCATCTCGGAGAAATTAGATTAGGTCTATATAACTCCGATTAGAATTTAAATAAGGGGATTAGCGAGGGAACAGAAGCGGGAGAGCATGCATTGGACCTTGCCATGTTGTGAGCAACTGAGAACGAGCCTGAGAATCGATGTGCCAAGCAAAATAATGTTTTGCCCTGGCATATTATGCTCAAGATAAAGAAGAAGAAGAAGAAGAAGAAGAAGAAGAAGAAGAAGAAGAAGAAGAAGAAAAAGAAGAAGAAGAAGAAGAAGAAGAAGAAGAAGAAGAAGAAAAGGAAGAAGAAGAAGAACAGGAGGAGGAGGAGGAGGAAGGGGAGGAGAAAGATGAGGGAAATGAGGAGAAGTAAATTAAGCAAAACATGGAAGATAAAAGTAACAAGAGAGAGAAAGAGAGAATAAGAGGGAGAAGAAGAAATAACGGGAAAGAGGAGGAGAATGGAGAGACAGACAAACTGACCAAAAGAGAGAGAGAGAAAGAGTGGGAGAGTGTGAGAGTGGGAAGGGGAGAGAGACATGGAGAGACGGACAAACCAAAAGAGAAAGATACAGAGAAAGATAATCAAAGAGAGAGAGAGAGAGAGAAAAAGATATAATAATATGCTACTGTTATAGCCAAGTTGTCTTAAACCCTGCCAAAAGTGCGACGGACGATGCAGCTTTTGCGATTTCTCGCACGCCTGCACATTGCAGAGACAGCATGGACGATATTATGACAAATGCTTAACGAAGAGGTGTCCAAATTAGAATATCAATGATTAATTCTAATACGCCCCGTCTGACCAACTCTCCCGCTAGAATTGAAGTTCATGATCGAGCAAAGTACATATTACCCACTTTGCTTCCCATCCGCGTAACATTTCTCCATTCGTTTGATAAGTCATAGGTATTTCTTTTTAATGAATGAGATAAGAGAGAGATTTAGCTAGACGAGTTTGAGTTTTGAATTGAGTTTGAAGTTTTATAATCCAAACATATATCCAAACAGAAACTGTACATCAATATAACAATCGAATGTGAATGTTCAACATTGAAAGGATAAATGGGACCAGAAAATAGCATTAAATACTAATCGTGTCTAGTACCACTAACACACAAAAGTAGCATATCACAGCAATGAATGTAAATGTAATGAATAAATATGAATAACGCTACAAGCTATTCTACATCTAGGCTAAAATATGTTCTGTGATTAAATACAAAGAACTATATAACACAATGATATTTACAAAAGGCAAGAACCTCGGTTCAAATTTCAAAACAATTATTCTATTAACATTTATGATATTAGATAAACAATAAAGATATAAACATTGATAGATAGATAGATGGGTGGTTGGAAATATGGATAAATGGAAGGATGGACAAATTATTAATTACTAGGAAGAATACAGAGCCAATGATGTTTTTGATGATGTAAGGAACTTTGTCTGCGTTTTAAATTCAAAGTCGCCGTCGTTGATTCGGTATTTTATTCGGTATGTTTGGTATTTCTATTAAACTAATAATTTTGTCATAAATGTTTGTATTTTATCTGCCACAATGTTTTCGGTCGTGATGATCGTTATCTGAGCTTAAGCCATTATGTATGAAAATTATTTCTTTAATTATTTGTATAAAAGTATGGATATACTGTACATGATGAAATTTGTTTTAAAAATAAAGGACCCTGCATGTGGCAGGGGAAAAAAGGGGAACAAAATTATTCGGCTCATCCTAGTATGAATGTTGCCCAAGAAAACCTATAAATGTAAAATCATATTTACCTTACAATTTTTTTCTTCATCAGTGATCATATTATTATATCCTTCAATGAATCCACTTCCAAAATATACATATTAGAATGAAAGAGACAAAGAAAGACAGACAGAGACAGAAACAGAGTGAGGAAAGGAGAGAGAGAGGGTGAAGGAAAGAAGGGAAGAAAGATTGAGATGGAGAGAGAGGGGGTGAAGGAAGGAGAGAAGTAAATAGAGAGCGGGAAGAAAAAATAGGGAGATAGAAAGATAGAAAGAAATAGAGACAGGAGGGGGGGGGGCGAAATAAATACTTTTTAAAAGTTTAGTTTCTATCTCGTCATTTTGATAGACACGTAGGTGTTATAATGGCGGTGATGATAGTGATTATAATGACGACGCGTCTATCAAAGGAGAATTATCTTGTCATTAAGTATGTGCACTGTCATTTTAGCCAACAAATCAATCACAGTTCCTTCTCCCTCCTCCTCAAATCGTTCTCTTGATTGTCGGTTTGCACCACCCGACTCCGGATAGCATCATCTTCATCCATCTCCTTTCCATGGCAACATGAATATTACAAGAGTCCTCTCCTCATCAAGGGAGAGGGGGAGAGTGAGAGAGAGAGAGAGAGAGACGACGGGAGAGAGAGAGAGAGAGAGATGAGAGAGAGAGAGAGAGAGAGAGAGAGGGAGAGAAGAATGTATTGAGAGTGCTGCCCGACACCTGCCCATAAGAATGTGTAATGAGGGAAAGATGATGAGTCTATAATAGCTTTACGAGGCATAAATCAGAGAACATTAATTAGCAAATTGCAAAGACATGACTTGTTTGTGGAATTTGTGATCAAGGGCACATGGTTGCAAAACAATGATGTTTATAGTTAGACATAGCCGATGCCTTTTAAGTGATTTGGATTTTTAATCTATGTGTATTTTTTAAATTGATGCAATGATAGTAATACCTGGAATTTAATAATTTTCGTTTAGAGTAGATGATTGCTGCTCGATTGCGAATGTTACCCACCACCATCAACAACATCATCGTAACCACCAACACTACTACCACGACTACCACCACTACCACTACATCCACCAATACCACTATCACAACCACCACCCCCACCACCACCACCACCACCACCACTACCACCAGTCCACCACTACTATAACTAGTTCTACCACCACTATCACAACTACTACAACTATTAGGCCTATAATTACTACTACAACAACTACTATATACTACTACTATATACTACTACTACTACTACTACTACTACTACTACTACTACTACTATACTACTACTACTACAACCACCACCACCACTACCACTATACTACTACTACTACTACTACTACTACTACTACTACTACTACTACTACTACTACTACTACTACTACTACTACTACCATCACTACTAAATGTTAACTGCTTCTTTTACTATTGTTACTTTAACAATTTCTACACTGCGATAAAACTGAAATTTCTATTATACCCTAGTAGAGGTCAATGTTCGGCAAATCAACTTCCCAACACTCTAGATAACTAATTATCTGTCCTTTTCAAACCTGAGCCAGGTCCCATTTCGTATGCCTTGAACAAGCAGAATTTTTTGTTTTAATGTTTAAAAATACTCACACTCCCTTGATACCCCACCCCTCCCCACTGAGTTAAATTTCAGTATTGAAAAGTTCATATAGGTTTTAAAAATACCATGAGATCCCCCAGTTGAGTTTGAAATAGGGAAGATTTTTAGATATTTAAAAATATTTTAAACCAAAAAGGTTAGTATCAAACCAGGTGTACGCACATTTAAAATCTCCAACAAGATCCCTGCAAACACATACATTCGTACTTATACAAATGTGATAAGGATATAGTAGGCCAAGGTTTATAATCCGGGATAATAATCATGTAAACGTTGATGACGAATAAGGAAAATTCAATATGATGAGATACTTTAATAGGGGCGTAGAGTTTCTATCAATAGATACATCCAATACGTTTTTATCTTACATTGTTTATTTACATTAGGAGTACCACCCTCCCCCTCGATCAAAAGACCCCTCCTCTTTACATCTCATCCCTCCTCCAAATCATATTTTGCAGACTCCACCCTAATTGACGAGTCTATTTTACAAGTAGGGTATTTGAAGTGAAATTCATATAAAAAGGAAAACTCCCGTCAAATACATTACTATTTTACAGCTTTTTTTGCTGTTTTCATTCGATACATTTATTTAGACACTTCAGATAAAGTGGTATATAAGTGCAGTAAGCACACAAAGTAATATTTTGTATCAATACTACGAATATTCCCAGTTGTTCTCCCCTATTTACAAAGTGCACTCTCCCAAAGTTGAAAGGTTACGGATATAGTTGTAAACAACATGGCAGCTTCCTGTCCGGTATATTCTGCTACAGTCTAGGTAACAAAAATTGAGATTTAAAAGACATTGTTCGATGTTTGTCGTCAAATAATGGCAGAGTAGAATAGATGAACGTATATGATAATGTACCATATGTTTATATCCATGTATATAGTTGTGGGCAGTTGTAAATCAATGTGACATGTCTTTGCATTTCACGACTGTACACCGGCGTTAGGCCTATACTATTTACACGGTGAATCCCCTTACACGTATAGTCAGTGAGTGGCAGTGCAGTGAATGACTGAGTATGACACAAGCCGGTAATATTGCATCTCCCATTCATGTTGGCATGCACATCCGACGGGATCGTATATCGGCCCGCGATTCAAGCAGACTACAATAGTAGATCTATATGATGGGTTGTCCACATTTGGGGACATTAACAAAAATAATTAAGAAAGTGATATTCGATTAATGATTTCTCATAGATCTAGATCTAATCATATTCTAGTAAAGGATGCAGCTGCCAGCTGGGGTAATCGTAGACCGAAAACTTCAGTCTCTCTAAATCGTCGGTTGTTCCACTGAGACTACGTCTGGCTCCACTAGACCTCCGATTATAAAGACTGAAGTATTGCCTATCGGGACTGTACGGAACAAATGGTTCGTCTCGACCGGACCGCGATGAATGAGATATGCAACGAGATTTTCACTCTTTACATCCTCATAACTGCTGCAATTATGATAAAAATTAAAAATAACATATATATAGCTTATTTGACTTACGATAGCTTGCTCATTTAGATCCTAAATTAATGATTAATCCGAGAAAGTCTCGTCAACATTATCCGTCTTGGTTTTAGTTGATGAATATTCATTTTTTCTTTTCGAATGTTCAATAGCTACCGTAGCTACGTACGAGTCAGCCCGGCTTGAACAACGAACTCCCACGAAACGAGTGCTCTGATTGGCCATTGGCTATGTTTTGGTAGGTTGAACCGGAAATATATCGGCCGCCGGGTAATAGTTCGAATGCATGAACGTACTGCTTCGCGGTTCTGAGATAAAATTGGATAATTCATAATAAGTAAGTCCGTAAATTATGTATTTAATATTAAGTTATCAAATTTTGATAACTGTTGATAACTGACATACCAACCTAATTTACATCTGATTTAGAAATCAGAAAATTAGATCTAAATAAAGAAAATCGGGGGAGAAATGTCGGGAACGAAAAGATGTTCCGCTGTGGCTCTAAATTACCCCCACGGTACGAGATCTCTGGGTTACCATCTGTATTGGGGAATGTCAACAAATGTCAGTTTTATTAAAGAAATGACCCAAATCAGATGGTTATTTCTGTCTAGGGTAATCGACCATCTCCAGTTTTCGGCTGATTGGTTGGATGCATGGTAAAATCCCTTTAAAATACATCGCATAATAGCATATCACATATCCCACACATACCATACCATGCCAGAGTCACTGAAGAACCACATTTGCAATGGAAAATATATCCTAAAATATCACATTTTAGCGATGTTATCGGCGGTCTGCTACCCGAATCTGAAAAATTGAGTATCTTACGCGTGTCTGTAAGAAATATGGGTACCATAAAATGAGCTTTATTTCAAGTATTTCAAGTATTTTTCAGATTTAGAGCCCGATTTTGTGCGAGTCGCAAGCTCAAAAGTATCTCATCGCATGTATTAAATCAATGCAGCCGGACACCGCAACGCACACACGATATCTCTGTCTAATTCAGATTCCAATTTCCGATCAACGCAGTGCTAGTTTTCGACCTGGCGAGCACCGGGGAGCTCCGGCGTGGGATACCTGCTCTGCCCGCTAGTGCTATAGATCAGCGCGGAAATGGGGGTGCGTGCGCGCGCTTCCTATTGAATTTGTACATGCGGTCGAAAACTGGCTCGCTATGTCGATAACTGCCTCCGAAACAGTGAAAATTGAAATGAATATTGTCATGGCAATTCATGATTTTTTTCTGGGATTCTTTTTTTTGTTTAAATAATAACAATATTTGCTTCATGATTTAAACAAGAAATGATAATAAATAGGAAGTAAAGAGTCCCAAAAATGGGATTTTGTCTTAAGTCTTAAAACCCCCTCCTTTACTTTAGATAGACTACATCAATTGATACGAGTTACGACCTCAAAGTTGGATTTGGGGAGTGCTCTACAACTGAAGAAAATGTCATCAAAATTGATGGGAGTGTACAACTACTAGTGATTTATCAAATAATGCAATCCATGAAAGGAAATGAAATTGGATAAATTGCAACTCAAAATATCATACAATCAGAGTTGGTATTACTTTTTACATGTCCTTTCAATTTTTATGACATACATGTATTCTCTCAAAATGAAGATTTCCAGACCTCTGTCATAAAGTTCATATTTTTATCAGAATGGACATGATTTTACATCCAATTTTATGTTCCTCATTCCATTGGTGATATCACATTTACAAATTCTTACCATTTTTGGGAGATATGGAACTGTTCATGAATTAATTTCATACATGATGTAGGCCCGAAGGCACAACGGAGGATTAAAGTTAACCCATGGTTTATATCTTCATTTACATAACCCATGGTTTAATATTAACCCCAAATTTGCGAGACACAATCAGAGGTCCAATATTAGAAGCCCGCAACGCGAGGTACTGTATGCTTAATTTGCGCTAATTTTATACCATGGGTTATGTAAATGGGGGTTTAAACCATGGGTTAAATTTAAACCTCCATTGTGACTTCAGGCCATAGAGTTTGACGAAATGTAGCGCCACTGCATTTCTTGATACCGGTAGTTGGATTTTAATCCAACGTCTCACACATGTGTAGTAAGGATTTTAAAATGTATGGGAAGCCCCTGTTCATGAAAATCACTTTACCATGCGCCTATGCTTCTTTCGTGGTAATCAACATAGGCTATCAGGGACTCAATAGTAGATGCATGTACTGATGTTTAGAATGTTATCCTAAACCTTTAGGTAATTCTTTTTTTTTGTACATGTATGTACATGGTTGACATTGTTCACTTTATTTCAGATTTTGAAAGATTTGGACTTAAATAAACTCTTACCCTCTTTCACCTCCAGAAACCTTCAGTGTTGCCTCTGTCTCCCATGACATAACCCAACCCATGACATAAGCCAACCCATGTGATTGGTGCATTCTGTCTTGCCTAGCTGTAATTGACCAATCATGGCTCTCCTAGATGACCCTGCCTTCATAATTGCTCACATCCGCCATTCCTTCATCACGAGTGATGACACAGGAATGTGCGAGATGGCCATCATGAACGAAGAACTAGACTGGCCACAGAAGAAGAAGGAGATGGAAGAGAAGAGAAAGTCAAATAAGGCCCAGTTTGACAGTTTTGATAATGACCAAGGTATGTACTTTCTTTCTTCTTCTTCTTCTTCCATTTTGAGTACATACCTTTTTGCAGAGTATTATCATACTGAACTAGGGTGTGTGCAGGTGGACCAAATTAATTTGCTTTTTGTTCTTCAAATCAACAACAATAGTATTTTCTAGGTGTTGTGGTTGAGTGGATACATCGCCCAACTGTTGATCACAAGGGCAGCGGTTCAAGTTCCGCTGCGGCACTAATGTCCTTTGGTAAGACACTTGCCACACTCCATCCAGGTGAAGTAAAAGGGGACCTGGTAGGAATTTATTCCTTGAAACGCAGCGCGCGTAACAGCTGCACTGCTAAAGCCAGGGTAATTATGCTGCATTATTGTAGAGCGCTTAGAGACGTTTGATTGAGTAAGTGTTAGGCGCTATATAAGCAAATATGATTATTATTCCTTCATTCATTGCTACATTTGTTTTAATCTGGAAAGTATGTACACAGACAGAAACTACATGTACATGCATGTCAAAGAGTAAGAAAAATAGCATTTAACACATAGTATAGAAAAGCGGTGTTTTTGATTTAGGGATTAGAGAGTTGCTCACTTTTTTGTGTGGATTGACTCAATAAGTGATTGATTTACAGCCCCAAAATATACAAGATCCTTATGCCTCGGTCACAAATACCATTACAAACTGCTATGAACACCATACGAACGATTTTCAGGCCATGGAAATTTGGGAAGACCATGGAAAACAGGGAGATTCGTACAAATGTATTGTTTGTACGAACCTTTGTGCACTCTCTGCTACTAATTTCGTGACACATCCCATGTTTGGTACCAAGAATTATTATGAGGAATATCCTTGAATTAACAACAATATGACAGTTCAAATTGAACTATTGAAGTATTCGTCAGATACTGAACATTTTTTGATTAAAAACATGATTACAAAATGATTACATTCAATATGTGACTAAGCACCACTAAGCTAAAAGTCACATGGTATAATTTCAGTTCAATAAAAGTGTAGTTGGCCAGGATAATCAAATATTACTTTATGAAATTTTCTGAAATAGAATACATTTGTTCATGTCACTTCAAGATTTGGAAGCATTTGGCAGTGTTTTGTGGACCTATGTTGGTCTGATCCTGTGTTTGTTGTAGTAATCTTTAATTGTTTAAAACCCTGATTGTTGGGCTCAGTTTGATATCTTTGAAAGAGATGTAGCTGTTGCATTGATACCTGGACAAAATATAGAACAGGATATGCTTTAATAATTGGTGTGCCAAGTTTTAGCACAATCTGGTCAATCCTTCACAGACATTTCAATAGAGTTCTAATCCTCCCATTGTCACCTTGCACACAAGTTGAGAATTAGAGTGCTAGAGAAAAACAGACTTTAGATGCTCTTTCCTCGTAAGTAAGATTGCCTTTGCAAAGGAGGTTCGTGGAAGAACAAGGGTCATGAAGAACAAATGGATGATTGATGAGGTGTTGCAGTCGTGTGACATGTACAGGGAGTCAAAGAAGAAAAGGTTCATCAGTGATGCTGACTGTCAAACATATGGACAATCCACCAAGGCAGTTAAGAAAGGAGCCAAAGAAAAGTGGACCAATGACCAGTGCAAAAACATCAACCACAACCACATGAAATGTAACAACATAGCAGCAGCCTAGAAACAATCATGGGCCTCATTAGATGGAAGGAAGGAAACAAGAATGATGGTCATAGAAGACAGAAATGGCAACCTCCTTACAGAAAAGAAGGACGTTCTGAGTAGGTGTAAGGAATACGTTGATGAACTCTATAGTTACCAACTAACATCAGGTCAGAAACTGCTAGGTAAGCTGAGTTCAGTCACAGTTACTGAGCAGGAGGAAGACCGACTGATTCTTTAGCCTGACGTTGAAGAAGCCGTTTGAAGCACAAATCCCTTTTGAATCTCACTCTGGAAGCTAAACTGGGATGGGGTGCACATGCAGTCAATGGCCGATAGTGAAGTTGTTATAAAGTATAAACAGAAACAATTGCAAGGTGCGAGTAAAAAAAAATATGGCAGTTAAGAGCTTAAAAGATGGAAAATCACCAAGGGCCAGTTCCACAAAACTTGTCATCAGTGACAAATGACAGTTTTTTTTATAAGCTAGTGAAATCCTTGATTCTGATTGGTTATCTGCAGATTTGTCACTGAATTTGTGAAACGGGTCCTAGGTATAGACATTGTACTTACAGAATTCCTCAAGCATATTGGGTGAACCATAATTGAGGCATACACAAAGCTCTGCAATAAGGTGTGGACAATTGGTGCATGGCCATCTGCATGGTCTAGTTCGATCATCAGACCACTCCCCCAAAAAAGACAACCTCAATACCTGTAACAACTACCGTACAATCCGTCTGATCAGTTATCCCACCAAGATATTCCTGAGAGTGATCCTTGATAGACTCTGCCCATGAGCAGAAAGAATCATTGCAGAAGAACAGTCAGGATAGAGGAAAGGCCGCAGCACGGTGGAGCAAATCTTTAATCTGATAATTCTAAGTGAGAAATTCAGGACTGACCAGAAGGCACTCTTCCATAATTTCATAGTTTTCAAGAAAGCATTTGACCTTGTCTGGTAGGCTGGAGTGATAGGGTGTCTTTGAAGTTTAACATCAGCTATCATGCATTTGAGGCCCGCTACACGACATCTCACAGTGCTTTCTTACATGGAGATGAGCTGACTGAATGGTTCCTACCAAAGTTGGCATCAGGCAAGGTTGTTTGCTTTCACCCACCATCTTTAACATTTTCTTGGAACATATCTTGAAGGTTGTTAGGGATCAATAAGCATACATGTAGGTGGAGAATCTGTTTAACCAATCTGAGATTCGCTAATGACATCGGCTTGATTGTTGGAATACTGGTCAGATGAGCTCAGTTTCCTGACAACAAGACTGGAAGAAAGTGCAAGAAAGCTTGGTATGACACAGTGCTGAGAAAAGCGAGATCCTAGGGATGGGTTCTGAGGAGAATGTTACAGCTACTATTGGAACAAAACGGCTTGAAACTGTTGATCAATCCAAATATCTAGGGTCAACTATCGCAAATGATGCTACATCTGCTCAGGAAGTCAAAATCAAAACTGTTTAGACAATTTAGAATGACCGGAACATCACAATGACAGCTACATGTAGATTGAGCCTTTTGAGATCACTGGTAACATCAGTCTTTCTGTATGGCTATGACATGATATAAATGGACACTGAATGCAGAGATGGTAAAGCAAATCAATGCTTTTGCGATGAATTGTATGAGAAGGCTTCTGCAGATCCACTGCACTTCGCATACTGTACATCCAACAAGACAGTAAGAAGGATAATGGATAGTTGTATAGAGTACCGAAGCTGTGACGTCATAAATATCTATTTTTAGAATTTCTCAATTTTTCTTCAATGGTTAGGAGCCAGAGAATATAACACTGAGTTCCTATAGGACATATATTCATTCAGATGGTCATATCTCAGCCAATACTTAACATATTCAATTGGTTATCGACATTTGGACATTATTTTTGATGTTATTTCGGAATATGAAGAAAAAATTGAGAAATTCTAAAAATAGATTTTTGATGACGTCACACTTCACCACTCTATAAGGGAACATGATCACCTCATCACAATTGTGAAGAGGGGACAGGTACAGTGGTTTGGGCATGTAACTAGATGAAAAGAATAGAAGAACTGAATACAACTACGGTACTTCTTTATGTACATTATTATTTAATGGCATGGGAAAGAAAGAGGAGGGAGGGAGGGAGAGTCAGAGAATGGTCAAAAAGGGGAAGTAATTCAACCAAAAATTGATTATTCATTTATATATTTATGATGATGATTGTAATTATCATTATTATCAGTAGTAGTAGCAGTAGTGTTTTTTTAAATTATTATTATATTAGACTAACTAGAATTATTATTCATTATTATCATAATTATCATTATTATCATCGTTATCATCATCATCGTTGTCATTGTTTCTATTAATCACGGAAAAGTTGGGCTTAATTTTGGCTTACCAGTAGACCTACCAATGCAATCCCATTGTTTACCCTGCTCTTACTCAAAGGCAAAGGGTTTGAAAACAAATTATGGTACAAAGTGAAAGAAAGAGAGAGAGAGAGAGAGCAAGAGAGAGAGAGAGAGAGAGAGAGAGAGGGAGAGAGAGAGAGAGAGAGAAAGCGAGATAGTGAGAATGAGAGGGAGAAAGAGTGAGAGAGCAAGAGAGACATAGAGAGAGAGAGAGAGAGACAGAGAGAGAGAGAGAGAGAGAAAGAGATAGAGAAGGAGAGCAAGAGAGAGAGAGAGAGAGAGAGAGAGAGATAAGGAAAAAGAAAAGTAGAAAGAGAGAAAGAAAGAGAGAGAGAGAGAGTGAGAGGATGAGCAACCTGCTGCATCACCAAAAAAAAAAAAAAGGACATTTCTCTCTTAATGATGTCAGACAGAATGATGGAATACTGAGGGAGAATGGACATAAAAGAGGAAATAATCCAAACCAAGAATGGATTGTGTTATTCTTTGTCTTCAATAGGGCTCGGTCCTACCCTCGAAATGCCATCATCAGTAATTTCTTGTGACAATTTCAGACTGGCCATTCTTTATTTCACCCCTCAGAGTGAGAATTAGGAACACGCATGACCAGGGGCTTTTACACTGCTAGAAAAAACCATGAATTTTTGTTGCAATCAAAATTTCAATGGAAGTTGTACCCATAAATATGAATAAAAACATGAATAAAAATGCAACTCTGGGGTGAGTTTAAAATATAAAAAATACATCAGTATTTGCAGCATACTGGTAAATGCTTGCTCTGAAAACACAGGTACATGTAGATTATTCAGATTTTTCCTTGTGTGATCCTCTTCACTTCCCCCCCCCCCCCAAAAAAAAAAACAGAATTAGCAGACACTGACGTTTATGCTTTTTTTCCCCAGTAGTATGAATGGTACAATATAGTTATAAAGGCTGATCTTTTTTTAAGATCGTTTTTT